TGATGGCAGTAAAATTTCCATGATTATAAAATAAAGACAAACTTAAAAAACATAAATAAACAAAAGAATCTATCAAAGCTTATTAAGCTACTGGCTAAAAACCATACAAACTGGATTACAAATTTATAATGAACATAAAGAACACAGAAACTGCCTGGGGCTGGTGGCTCACAGCTTATTCTAGCTACTTAAAAGGCTGAGCTCTGAGGATCATGGTTCAAAGCCAGCAGGAAAGTTCACGAAACTGTTATCTCCAATTAACCACCAGAAAACCAGAAGCAGAGCTGTGGATCAAAGTGGAACGCTAGTTTTGAGCAAGAGCTCAGGGACAGTACCCAGGCCCTGAGTTCAAGCCCCAAGACAGACCAAAAAAAAAGAACACAGAAACGTAACATCATATCATGGGAAACTTCTATAGGAACATTTCCTAAAGAAATTACAAGAGGAAAAAAAGAGGAGATGGAAACCTATAGATGATAAAAACTGGTCGCTTATAAAACTGGTAGATTATAAAAAGTTGTAGGGTAAGCTTGGCATTCAGGAGGCCCTGCATTCAATGCCCAGCAAGGGGGGGGGGGGAGAGGGAGAGGGAGAGGATAAAAGAGTAAGGGGGGAGAAAGAGGGAGGGGAAAAAAAGTAAGAGAGGGAGAGAGGGAAAGAGGGAGAGGGAGGGAGGGAGAGAGAGAGGGAGGGGAGGGGAGAGTAGGAGAGGGAGAGAGGGGAAGGGGAGAGGGAGAGGAGGGGGAGAGGCAGAGAGAGGGAGAGGAGGAGAGGGGAGGGGGAGAGAGAGAGGTGGAAGGAGAAGAGAAAGGAGAGAGAACATGAACCAGAACCAGCTGTAATGTATCAGAGTCCCTGTCCAAAAAAAAAAAAAAATCAGGAAAATCTCAACAATCACTATACATTTGATTAACTTTTCTAGATGTGATTAGGATATTCGGGCACGGAGGGGGGGGGGGATTTAAAGAAATGCCTGCATTTCACAGACAAAACTGATCTGGGGTAGGACTGGGACCTTTCTCTAATATATATTTATTTACTCATTCATTCATTTTCAGAACTGGGGGATTGAATCCATGGCATTCAAGTTGCACTCCTGAGTATATCCTTGCATGTTATTTTATTAAAACTGTACCTAATGATTTTAAGCCACAGATATGGGGCAAGTTATATAAAAAATGTTCAACAAGTCACCTACTTATGCATCAAATTATATGCTTTCAAAAATACTTTTGAAGATTGGAAGCTGTTTTTATTATGGACATTAATGGTTAAAACTGACATCTCTGAATTCTACTGAACTTATATTTAAGATACTTACAAAGAGATGTTAACTTAGCTCTCTAATTTAGCTTCCTAAAAAGTACAAGCAAACTTTTCCTGGCTCCCTATACATATGGAACAAACCAAAAGCAACAACCGCAAAAATCTTAACTGTTCAAGGCACAGGGGATTAGAGCTATAAACTTATGATCTCTAAGCATAATTACCACAAGATAATAAGACTACATCTTCAATGAAGCGAATGGAATGGAAGGAGAGGGAAAAAAAACCCTCTGAATCACTGAAGAAGTTACTTAGAAAACATGTGATAACTTCATTCCAATTTAGCCTATTCCTCTTACCTCACTTTTCAAAACTCCTGTACACAGCCAATATCCAAAGAAAAATAGTAAGAAATAGTTAAGCAGAAAATAATTATTTTCAATCCTGAATAAATCTATTTCAGATACAAAGATAAGGAGAAAGGGACCAATTAATATTACATGTTTTATATATATGTATATGTATATATATATATATATATATATATATATATATATATATATGCTCAGAGAGAAAATATCACAGAGTTTACCCATCCAGAAAAGCTTTATAGGTATGCTCCTGTTTTAAAATATTTTTGTGATTGAAAGACTGCCTATAGGGGCTGGGAAGGTGGCTCAGTGGTAGAGTGATTGCCTTGCATGCATGAGGCCCTGGGTTCAATTCCTCAGCACCACATAAGCAGAAAAAGCTGGAAGTGATGCTATGGCTCAAGTGGTAAGAGCGCTAGCCTGAGCTGAAGAGCTGAGGCACAGCACTCAGGCCCACGACAAAAAAAAAAAAAAAAAAGACTGCCTATATCCTCCTTGCCTATGTTTCAGCTTTATGAAAGTCATAAAACGAGTAGGTCTAGTTTTTAAAGGCTGAGGTACAGAGCACCTGAAGAAAATGACTTGTAGCAAAAGAATACAGAGCTGTTTAGAGCAGGCCATTTAAGGGAAAAATGATGACTTGAGCTAAGTTGGAAAGCGGGTTTTCTATTAAGTGGAAAGCATAAACTTGAAGCCTGAGGGCAAACTGGAGAGGTAGGGTAAGAGTACACTGGGGAAGAGAGTGAAGGAAGGGATGACATGATCCAAAAATAATATCTCTGCCAGCAGGTCCCCGGTGGCTCACGCCTATAATGTAGCTACTCATGAGGCTGAGATCTGAGGATCTCGGTTCAAAGCCAGCCCTGGCAGTGAAGTCCTTGAGACTCTTACCTCCAGTTAACCACCAGAAAACCAAAGTGGTGCTGTGGCTCAAGTGATAGAGCGCTAACCTTGAGATGAAGAACTCAGGGATAGTGCCCAGGCCCAGAGTTCAAGACCAACAAAAAAAAAAAAAAAAAAGAAAAAGAAAAGAAAATATCTTTATCTGATTTATGTAACCCCTCTGTACATCACCTTTATAATAACCATTTAAAAATTGAAAATAAAACAAAATAAGAGTACACTGGGGAAAACAGAGATACATTCCTAAAATAGGTGGGATACTGAGTAGGAAGGTTCTATCAGAACTAGACTATCAGTCAGGTAAGTGATTAGACCAGAGTTTTATAAATATTTGCTAAGTATAAGATCATTTGAACTAAGTTAACATTGTGTTCAAATTCAACCTAGTTTGACTTGCAGTTCTGGTTTAATAAATCCTTTCTGCTTTATTTTACAGCTCATTAATCTTTACAAGTATTCTTTAACATCTTGTAGTTTTCTAGTTCTCTGGGTTTGCTAGAAAGATAAATGCACAAATATTTTTTTAACTTGGTTTTGGCTAAATCTAAAAAAAAATGCTTCCTTTATATATACTACAGGCTTCTAGAAAAAGCATGCTATTTCAAAACAGATTCTTCCTTCTTAGTTATACAATCAAAGAATACAGTTTGAGGAAAGTATCCAATGTAATTCTTCTACTCAACTCTAGTATCTTAAGATTTTTTTACCCTTCATACTTTTCAACAATTTAAAAATAAATTCTAGCAGACCATTTTAAATTCAAGTCATTTATGAATAAGGAAAAAATTAGTAGCTAGTGTTCTTTTTTTTTTTTTTTTGTCGGTCGTGGGGCTTGAACTCTGGGCCTGGGTGCTGTCCCTCAGCTCTTCAGCTCAAGGTGAGCGCTCTACCACTTGAGCTACAGCGCCACTTCCTAGCTAGTGTTCTTAAGGTGAGTGATTCTGTAACAATAGTATTCTGACAATTCTAGAAGAAAAAGAAAATCACAGTATATAATGAAATTACAAAAAGAAAAAACACAAAGTGCAGTATAAAGTATAGAGTATTTACCTTTATACAAAAATTATTGTTGTATACATATAAGAAATGCCAGTATGGCACTCGATCACCTATTATAATGTTTATATACAAATTTTAGTTTTCAAAAGAATTTTGACTTTTTTTTGTGTGTGTTTCATTGGAATAATAGTCTCATGAACTTTCCTTGCTTTGAACCATAATCCTCACACCTCAGCCTTCTGTATAGCTAGGATTACAGACATCGGGAGCCTGGTTTTCATTTGTATTTTCAATAGTGTTTTTTCTGAAAATGGTCAAATGTTGTTTGTAGTTTTTAAATATGGCTTGCAAACTACGAAGAAAGATTTCAAAAACATTAAATATGATGTGGTGGGAAATGCATTGCCAGTCAAGAAACCTGTTTCTAGTCCCAGTTGTGCTTGTAATCAGCTAGGTTCCTATGACTTATTCATTTTGGTTCTTAAACCGTAAAGAAAGTTGTTTTTACTCATTGTTCATCTTAAATTTGGCTTTCTAGTTAAAGCCTTTTTAAAAAATTAGAGCATTTTCAAATATTGTTTTATAGTAACAGCCCAACTGAACACACATCATTATGCCATATGGAATTAGGTCTTCATTTTGTCTCAATTCAACCTGAAGCGTGGGTCACTTTGATTGCACACTCAAAATGTTCTTGGGGGGCGGGGAGAGAAGCTGAGGAAAGATTCTTATCTAAGATGGAATGACGGGGACCAGGTTAAGAAGTAGTAAGTGTCTATGTCTGCAAAAGAGCTGGCCATTCTTAAGAGCAATGATGAAGAAATATGCTTCAGTGGGGAGCTATGGTTAACAAGCTCTGGAACAGGACTTGAATTGAGCATTTCAGATAATCACACCCTCTTGTCTTTCCAAACCCTTATTCCTCCCATTAGAGACCAAAAGCAGTGTCTAGTTCCGGGTATCCAACCAATCGTAAGAGGCCACAACAGAGGGCTCCGCCAAGGCCGGGCACCGTTTCGGGCTCCTGGAGTGAGCTTCACAGGACCCCAGCACCTGTCGCTTCACGCCCTTCCCACACCCAGAGGGTGGGAGGACAGCCCCGGTCTCTCCTCAGTTCTCGCGAATTCAGGCTACACGCCCTGGCAAGGCGCGAACATCCCGGGTCCTGGGCGAGCGGGGGTAAAAGACAGATCCCTCTCCGTGACCCTCCCTCCAGTCCCTTCTTCCCCAGGGCTGGTTCTCGGGTCTCAACCCCCGACCGAGGTTTCTCGGGCCTCCAGGACCCCGGGCCCAAGAAGGCAGAAGACAAGATGGCAAAAGTGAAGGCAGCGGGGGAAGGGCACGCCCCTAGCCCCCGCAGGAGAACGTAGGGAAGCCCGGGCAGCGCCATCCCCGCTCCCGGCCAGGGCGGGGGGCGGTCAGTGAGTCCGTCCGAGGGTCTGTCATTCCTCACTCACTCACCAGGAGCAGCAGGGAGCATCTGAGGTCGGGTAAGGAGAGGGAGACTGCAGGATTCATGGTAACGCTGGGGTTCTTGGCGGGGACAGGAGTCGGCGGCGGGGAACGGGCCAGGCTAGGCTAGAAAAGGGCTGGGCTCCGGGAGCCCGCGGCTGCACCTCGTCCTCTCGACCCGGCGCTCCAGCGGCGAACACCCGGGACAACTTCCAGAGAGGCCTCGCACGCCCTCACTTCCGGGTCCTGCCCACCTCAGAGCACGACGGGAAATGTAGTTCTAAACGCCCCTCGTCAAGCAAATCATTCGGCAATGAGAACTCGCTTTCCCAGTAGGCCATAGGCCCAGGCCCGCCGAGCCTTCTTCGCGCGGGGACCTGTGGGATTGAAAGGGCAGAGGGCCGCGTACTTCTGAGCTTCCCAAGATGCGAACTACAGTTCCCAGGTAGCGTTGCGGCCGAATGCTCAGGGTGGCCTTCTGAGGGTTCGCTAACTTCAGCGCCCCGAAGTCCGACCCTGTTGGGGAACCTGGCAGGAGGGGCGGTCCCCCTCGGAGTGGGGGGTCGTGCCTCCTGAAGCCGCCCCCGGGACCTCTGTCCTGGAGGAGGCGAGGGTGAGTAGGAATGGGCCTTGGCTGGGGAGGCTCGGAACGATCGGTGGGCACCGTCCTGGCCGCTGCTGCCCACCCTGGGCCCTCCTGGCCTGAGCCTCCATCGCCGGCCTCCTTGCCTGCTGCCTCTTCTTTCTGTGCTAAAGCCTCCGTTATAAAATGGGAGCCACCACTGGGGACTTCAGTGACCAGTGGCTCTTCCCTGTGAAGAGTAGATATGATAAAGGATGGGAAGACACGTTCGAAATTGGAAAGTTCAATGCCAGAGCGATTGTTTTTAAGTCATGGATTACTCCTACAAGTTAATTGAGGAATTCCTTGGCCAAGCAGTCAAGGATTTAACCTGGCCTGGGTAACCCTCCAGCATTTTCTGTAAACACCCAGCTAGGCCCACGTGTGGGACAAGTTAGCCAAGTAATCATTCCTAAGCATTCTGCTTTTGTGGCCTTAACAACTCTCTTCCTTTGCTTCAGCTTTCCAGCTTCTTGAGGTGACTTTACTCCCTTCTCTTTGTGGAATGCCATCTCAAATGTCGTTATCTCTGACATGTCACAACCTACCAAACTTTCGTTGTAGATGGAATTATATTTCCTTTGTGTGTGACTACAGCACCACTAGCTTTACCTAGTTATGATTATTAGAACATTTATTACATTGGCCTGTGTTATAATTATTTAATCATGATGATACCTTTACATTTTATAGCTCTTTAACAGAGTAATTTAGATTGTCATCTATTAAAAATGATTTAGTGGGGGAAAAAAATCACTGCTAAAATATGACTTGTACTATAAAGAATCCTCGAGGAATAATTTTCCCAGCGTGACAAAATTTGTGGCAGACTCTCACTTAGATCAAATTCCTACTACAGTGTTCTTATCTCTATACAATTCATCTCATCAACCCTTCTGACAGAGCCCAAGTTAAAATAGGAAATTAAGAAAGAACAGACTCATGAGCATGAACTCATTATTCTAAGAAGTTAAACTTTGATCCTGCTTATCCTTTGCACTTAGGGCTCAGCCTATGACCTTTCACTCAACGAACATTTATTGAGCACCAACGATATACCTGTTTATATGCTAAAATTTATGAGGTGAAATATAAAATATACATAGTAAAATCCAATTTTAATGTTTTCTCAAAGTATTTCAGTATGGTTCTGATGCACCTAAAGCTCAGAATCTAAAATGTCAGGTCTTCAGAACAATGCCTAAGACATACTTGGCACAACTTGTTAAATGAATGAACACAGGGCATCCTTTCCATTTTATAGAGTCAAGGAAGCTGAGAAAGTCTTGAGAAGAATACACTGCAGCTTATTAACACACCAGGCCAAGAACTCAAGTATAATTATTATTCTACTATGTTTCTACCTCATCCTGTTTGTAGCTTCTCCTACGGGATTTAAATGTAGTCCAGAATATGACAGTGATTCCTCTGACAGGACAGACATGCTGAGACATGTCTCATTACATGTCTCATTACATCCTCTGGCAACATGTTCACACAAATTGTCAGCAAAATAAAGACATGAAGAGCTAACCTTGTACCATAATTCTACAAAATATTTTCTCTCTCTGACAGAATTTGAATCAATATTTCAGGCCAGTAGGCCCAGAGTTTATGGAGAAAAATGCTCAGGTCCCCAGAAAACAAAGAGATTGGAATGACCATGCTTTTCTATGAAATCAGAGGAGAATTTGTCCACCTTCATGGCAACAATCAACTGGAATGTATTAAAAACTGCTCCTGTCATATAAGTATGTACATTCTAGTTTGCTATGTTCCCTACATCTCCGTCCCTTTCCCCCCTCCCCACCCACCCCTACACCTCACCAAAGTTGTAAAGTTCATTTTTTGACATAATGAGGAAGAATTTTTAATAAATAGTACACCTCCTTCCCTTTTTCTCATCAGATGCTTGAATACTTGATTGATGACATAGACCAACCTCTGCTTAAACACTTTTATTGATAGGTAATTCACTATTTTTCTATGTACCCAATCCATTTCTAGAAGTTTAAAACATACACACACACAGACCATCAGAAAAAAAAAAACTTTTTCTTAATGTCATATGGTTAATCCTAAAGAAAAAGTGTTCCAAGTAATATCTCAAACTAGTCATATTAATTCCTGAGAATGGCCAAGAAGATAACAAATAAAAATATTGCCTTTACACAAAGGCATGAGAAGAAGAACTAGGTACCTTTTAATTTAGTGTTTAAATCTAATTAACTGACTTGATAATTAAGTTTACATCAAACCTTTTTCTGGGTTGATCAATAAGTTGATTCCAGGCATCAATTTTAATATCTAGTAGTCCATGGTATCCTACCTTTTTTTTTTGGGTGGGGGGTCAGTCGTGGGGCTTAAACTCTGGGCCTGGGTGCTGTCCCTGAGCTCTTCAGCTCAAGGCTAGCGCTCTACCACTTGAGCCACAGCACCACTTCCGGTTTTCTGAGTGGTTTATTGGAGATAAGAGTCTCACGGACTTTTCCTGCCCAGGCTGGCTTTGAACCATGATCCTCAGATCTCAGCCTCCTGAGATCTGAGCTAGGGTTACAGGCATGAGCCACTGGCACCCGGCTATCCTACCAGTATTAACTTAGAAGTCACTGTGACTTTTGAACCCTGTGCCTAATGTTAAATTTACAAAGGTCATCTAATTTCCCACATTATGGAAATTCAAGGACTATGGATGTAGATTTTCCTTAATCCTAATCCAATATTTCTAGTAAATAATGTTTATACATACCTATTTGGAACTAATGAGAAGATATCATAAGTGTTTCCTCCATAATCTTTTTGTCTGAATCATTATTTCAGGTTGATCCAGTTGTTGAGCAGACTATGAGCAGACCAGAGAATCTGCTCTCTACTGGTTCCTCATTAACATCGCAAGTTCATGCCGCTGCAGTTAATGGAGATAAAGGTGCTCTTCAAAGGCTCATAATAGGTAAGCTGTCCCCTTAGATTTAGAAACCATGAATGCAACTCTTTGTCCTAAGGAAGTTGTTTCATATTAGTTTAGATTTGCAATGTACTATTTTAATGGAAATATATTAGTATTCTAGGACTTGAACAAGAAAGAAATTTAAGTACTGACTTAAAAATATGCATTAAGATTGAGTGGAAAGTACTTACAAAATTTCTATGTATTTGGCACTGACTCTAGATAGGGAACTCATTTGGTCTAGGTGTGTGACTCAAATTACTTGCCTAGCATTAAGTAGTGCCACAGGTTGTATGGTTAATGTCACCTAAGAAGAGAGTGTTAAGTCATCTTATAGTACCAGGGATCTAGATTGAAGATAGCTGATAATGATTTAGTATTTAAGATAGAGTACACTCAAGGTGCTACTACTTATACATAAATTCATGATTTAAAATTGTTTCAGTGTTCTCACTGTCATTTATATGTATATATGATATCCAAAAGTCCAATGTAGAGGGTCCTGAAGGAGAGAATAAAATAGGGGGAAGGTAAAATTTAATAGTAGAGTGGTTGCCAGGTGTCCCTAGCTCATGCCTAGAATCCTAGCTACTGAAGGGTCTGAGATCTGAGGATTAAAATCAACCAATGCAGACAAATCCAAAACCCTTACCTCCAATTAATGGGCAAAAAGCCATAAGTAGAGGTGTGGCTCAAATAATTGAGTGACAGCCTTGAGTGTAAAAAGCCAGGTATGGGGCTGGGAAGGTACCCAAGGCCCAGAGCCAGTCCCCACCAAAAAAACAAACAAAAAAAGCATATGCACAGTTCCCTGAGTTCAAGTCCTAGTACTTGCACAAAAACAAAAGGATAAGATGGCTAAGAATTTTTCCGAGTTCTAAAAAATATAATTCTAACATTCACAAGCCCTAACAAGAATAAATAAAATAAAAATATATATTATCTATAGTCTTCATGTATGCCAGTGTCTGGTGACATCATGACTGACAAGTTGGGCTGCAAAATGAAGTCCAACCTACTTAACTTTCACACTTGTTAGCATTTGTTTTCACTTACTTTTCTAGTTTCACCCGGAGCTTCTGTCTATGTACCCTAACTCTAATGAGGCAAGAGGCAGTTCTGTTTCTCAGTACTTTTCTCTACATCTTTTTCTTCTGCTTCTACTTTACCTTTTCTACTAAACAAACTACGAAACCTCTTCTCATCCTTAGATTCAAAACTATGTGCCATATACTCTGAAGATTTCTCTTCATTTCCAGAGACAAAGTCTTTTTTTTTTTTTTTGGTCCGGTCGTGGGGCCTGAACTCTGGGCCTGGGCGCTGTCCCTCAGCTCTTCAGCTCAAGGCTAACGCTCTACCACTTGAGCCAAGCGCCACTTCCGGCTTTTTTCTTTTTGCTTATGTGGTGCTGAGGAATGGAACCCAGGGCCTCAGGCATGCAAGGCAAGCGCTCTACCACTGAGCCACCTTCCCAGCCCCAGAGACAGTCTTTATTTCACCTCAGCTGCTACATTCACAATTCCTCCCTGGAACTGACATTTCTCAGAGGCTCCACAGAAGTCGTGTGAACATCCATTCCATCCCTGAGTTAAAAGGCTTTCACTTCCAGCTCACTCACTAAGGAGAAGCAATAATTCCTCGTCTTCACTGAAACTTCCATT